CTCTGGATTTCATGTCTGCAATGAGTATTGCCTAAAATGAAACTTTCCAATATTTTTCATGAAGGAAACATGTTGCTTTTAGTTCCCAAATAGTATTTTCTATAGGGTATTTCCCTGTTGCATGCATCCCAGAAATTATACCTTTGTAGAAAGTTTCACATTAGAACCAGCAATAAGTCTTAATTAAAATACTTCAAATTAAGCTTGATTTTCATTTCTTTGGGTTTTCTTAAATGTCTTGTATTAGAGGCTATGAGAGGGGGAAAGGCATTAATTTGTTTACTAAACAAACTTGAAATGTTGACAACAGAACAAAGTAGAATCAGAGAGGACAAGTGAAGAGATTAAAATTGAATATTGTTTTTAATAACCTACAGTTCTTTTTAAACAGGAGAAAGCATTAATTAACATTGGTGCAAAAGGGAATTGGCTAAAGAAGATAAATTATCAGCAAATATAAACTATTTGGGAGCTTTGTTGAACTTGACTAATAAGATTGTTTGGTTTTGGAGTAGTCTAACAGAAAGTATACATGGATCAAGATTGGCATCAGTTGCTGTGCTTTTGGGATATAACCCAAAACATGTTGTAGTGGAAACTTTTTGTGAACTACATTCCAGTTATAATTAGCTGCCCTCCTTGAGGATTACCACCTTAATTTTACAAAAAATAAAACTATACATAAAGATAAAAAATTGCCAAATGTACAGTCAGCATTCAGCAAAGATTTATGATCAGATAAGTAACATGAGAAGGATTAATAGAGCAAACGGAACAATACGAAAAGGAGTTTCATGTTTGTTGCACTGCTTATAACAAGGTCTTTGGGTAGATTATGCCAGGCTGTGGAATATATTAAGACTAATATGAGTACCAGGACACTTGATTTATTTTTGAAGAATTTTTATAAAGTAGTGAACAAGAAGCTGCTGTTAAAAATTGAATTTGAAGAAACAGAATGTTTTAGAATATAGATTTGAGTAAGACATAGATGCATATTGGGTTTATAGTATTTAAATGTTATATTGCATATATTAGTGGAATGCAAGGTTGGAAGAGATCAGAGTTGGAATCATAATTGGTGGTTGAAATGCTGACAATTTGACATATGCAAATGGCACACTTTATTAGCCAAAAATAAGACGACATTGGAAATAAGAAAACGAGGAGTAAGGAGTAAAAAAAATCTGTGTTATTCTTAAATCTTAAGATGTTGAAGGTAATGTCAAGTTGTATGCTTAGTGAATATTTAATTAATAGAGAAGTAATAAAGGTTACAGGTAGTTTTCTTTTGTTCAGCTCAAGGGAGGACAGTGTGCCTTAGAAGTAAAGATTAATCCTAGGTAAGAAAGCAGTGACTCTCATAGATAAGATTAAGAAAAACAAGTGCATTTAACAGCAATAAAGAGCAGAATGGTTAAGACAATAGTCTTTCCAGTTATATTATATGGCTATGAAAAGTTAACATTTGGATAAGAGAAAGAGATGCTTTTAAATTCCATATTTGGAACAGTTTCTAAGAATATCATGGGTTGCAAGAAAAATCAACAAAGTAAAGGCTTAAGCAAATGGCAAAAAGAAATTTGGACCCTTTGGGGCATATAAGGTAAGCAGATGATGGACTAGGGGGAAAAAAACCTATGCTTGACAAGGTTGAGGAAAATAGAATAAGTGAATAAGCTGGGTGAATGAAATTACAGAGGTAAGTTGAATTTTTCCAAGGAAATTACTAAGATGAACATTTGTCTATGCGGTCAAGTAGAATTCATAGCACCTAACTGTCTAACCGTACATAGCAGACTGTTTAACTTACTTCTTGACCTAGACTACTTGAATTGGTTTGTCTAAGTATGGTTATCATGGTGTATACTATTCTTTGTCACATATAGGTTTCTGGGATATATATATACTTAAACCTTTCTAGGTCACAAATCTGAGTTACATTTTCTAACATTAAAATATTATATAAATGAATTAATTTAGGTGGAAATAGAAATGTCCACTTGCTGATGGAACAGCACATAGATTTCCCCTATATTTTAAATCCCCAATACTTTCCCTAATTAGGCCAAAGAGGAAGATCTTGCTAGAACAGTTTTTAGGAAACAGGGGGAGCTCTATGCATGAACAAAAAATTCTACATACAGTAGAACATCAGATTGGTGCATTTTATAAAAATCAGGATCTCCCTCTGAAATATTTGTTAATTCCTTTGACTTGATACCATTTTCTTGAGTTATGTGCTTATTACCTTGTTGAATAAGCTTGAATGACCTCTAGAATAAAATAACAATTTGACAGTATTTCTAGTCATAAGATCATAGTACTAATAACAGAGCAATAATTGCAAAATTAAATATAGCTACCGGTAGTAGTATGCACTGATTATTATTATTTTTTTGCTTTGACAACCAGAATGTCAGAAATGTGCTTCTTATATAAGAGCATGTTAACTTTAACATAACATTTAATAAAAAGGCACTATTTAAAAACAAAGAAAACAATTTCACATTCTTTAATTATCTTTTACATTGGACTACTATGTTATGCAGACCAGAGAAAAGGTTGTTAGACATTCTCAGCTCTGATATAATTATTTTGCCAGAGACTTAACTGTACAGGGACACTACCTGTACTTGTTGTGTTGTGCCAAAAGCATTGTAAAATAAAATGTTAACTACTCGTTAAAAGATTTGTATTTTACATTTCTGCCTTAAGCAGAGAATCAGTAAACACTTATGATTTTGTTTGTTTCTGCTGGAAACCAGTAATTAGATATTACTTTTTAGAAAATTACTGTCTGTAACCTCTTATAGTAAAGACATGTTCTAACAAATTATTTTCCCCTCGTTAACAGTTCATTTAATAAGGAACTTCTAAAATGGTTGAGAGCTAAATAAAATTGTATGCTTTAAATCTGAATTCTTTTTTAATTCTTTTGCTCAGAATAATTTATGTTGTGCTCCCCAAAGTCAGAATTAAGCAACACCAAAATCAAATCAAATAAATAATCAGCTACAGGTAGTCCTCGACTTACAACCTTTTATTTAGTGACCCTTTGAAGTTATAACAGCACTGAAAAAGTGGTTTATGACCGTTTTTCACACTTACGACTCTTGCAGCATCCCTATCACATGACCAAAATTCAGATGCTTGGCAACTGAGTCATATTTATGACTATTGCAGTGTCCCAGGATCATGAGGTCATTTTTTGCAAGCAAAGTCAATGGGGAAGTTAATAACAGCCATGTTACTAGCTTAACAGCTGCAGTGATTCATTCAACCACTGTAGCAAGAAAGGTGGTAAAATGGGGCAAAAGTCACTTAACAACTGTCTCATTTAGCAACAGAAATTTTGGGCTCAGTTGTGGTCATAAGTCAAGGAGTACCTGTATCTTCAGTGGTGAGAAAGATCTGGGTTCGGAAGTTTCAGTATACAAATTGATATAACTTGGCTTTCAAATGTTGTTAATATTAGTGTTTTATTTTTAAAAAAGGAACAAAACAGCAAAATATCCATGAAGCAAAATTCTGTGAAACATTGATATTTCTTACCAGAATTTGTTGTTATTCAGCATTGTTGTCATTTGCCTTAATATATCTGTGTTGAACAAGGTCTGTTTTTTTAAAAAAAATCTAGATTTGATTTCTCTCTAGATGGGAAGTTTCAAATTATTCATACTCTGGACTGTTTTCAACATTTTAGGGTTTTAACCCCTTGTGCTTTCTGAATTTTATAGACCTTTATTATATACCGGATGCCTTATCTTTTAATTTGGTTTTATTTGTTGTACAAGTTTATAGAGCTTACATATTTTCTGTAAAACTTAGGTGCTAGACATATATGTTGTATCAATGATCACTTCTGAATGCAAAAATAAAGGAATAAATGGAAACAAAATATTTTTTAAAAGTATGTCCATTCGTTCCAAAAGGGTTTGTATTATTTTAAATATTTTTATAAGTTTAATTTTTTTAAAAAGCAGTGCAGTATAAAATAAACACAGAAATCCTGCATCTTCTTGAACCAAGAAATCATCACAGCTAGAAAGGTCTGCACAAGTATTTCAAGAATTATACTGATGTGCAAATATATTTATATTCCAAAAAACCTAAGTTGACACATCCTGTCTGGCACTATTTAGTTCAGTAGTACATAAATTTGCACTGCCTTTATCTCTGAAAGATATTTTTAGGTAAATCATTCACCTTTGTCAATTAGAATTTCAAATTACCAGTGAAGTGCAAAAATTCATGGAAAAGGTGAAGGTGAAAAAGCTGGAACAGAATTCTGTACAGGAATAATAGTGTCATTGTTGAAGTTAGTTTTGAAGTCTCTCCAAATGAATTATCTGTAAAAAAAAACACATGGTTTTTTAAAAAAAATTAAATCTAATACATGACTTGAGTGGCTGATTATAGATGGTTAGTTGTTTCATACAAACATAACGGCTAACAGCTGACAATGTTTGCATGAAGCTACAGCAGGTGCTCTGATTTGAGAAAATGTACTTTGGCTCTATTGCTATAAATTCCCTTTCAAATACTGCTGATGGGGTTATTTATTACATATTTTATAGGCATTAGTTTCAAAATTAACTCCTTCAGTTATGATTTTCAAAATTAAAACTTCCTCTCCTTTATCTTTGGGAAAATTCCTTTAGAAAATTTCACCTCAGGCATGGGTTTCTATACTGAGATTATATTTTAAATGGAAAGAACAATATCAAAAATAATGACTTCATGGAAAGATTTAATGGGTAATTTAATAAAAAGATTTAATGGGTAGCTCTCTCTAGCTGTGATAACCTGAAGGTTTCAGTGGGTTAATTTATTCCTTGTAGCATTCGGTTATTTAGTGACTAGATGGCAAAAGCATGCGCTAAGCCATATATAAATTTTTGTACTAATTAATCTCTCCTTAGAAGCTGTTAGTACATTCCTAACATTATTGTGTATTCATTCTTCTCCTTTTTTGAAAATATCTTCTGTCCTTACAGGTTATGTGTTCTGTATGTTGCATCGCCTGCCTGAACAGCACGATTGCACATTTGACCACATGGGACGTGGGCGCGAAGAAGCCATTATGAAAATGGTGAAACTGGACCGGAAAGTTGGGCGATCATGCCAGCGCATTGGCGAGGGCTGCTCCTGAGTGGCAAGACTCTTCAACCAAATGCTGTTCTCTTAGTTCACTAATGTTAGCCTTATTTAGGACAAAGTCAGCCAGACACTTGTACTGGGCAAGTTTCAGACTACAGCCAATCAATTTCCTTTCTTTAGCCAACCATCCTGGTACTGTAGTTTAGGAGTTAAATGGTGATCAACACTGATTACTGGCTGGTTGTTAAGGTGCCTACTAGCCACTATTAAAAAAAATGAAGACATATTTTTGAGCATGGCTAGTGGATTGTAACAAAAATATAAAGGCTTCTATTATTGCAGGAGTCAAGTTCTTATAAAACAAACAAAAAGCCTTATATTGGGAAGTATCCAGCAGCTGAGTAGAAACTGATGTAAAAGACTGTTTATGTGCATACCACTCTGGAAGAAACTACCCTTATTAGCCTGGCTTTCCTGTCCTTACTATTAGCTAACCTTGAAGAGGTGAAACTCTGCTTAAAAGAAGCAGGGTGGATGCTAAACCTAGAAGACCTAAATCATTACTTTTGCTATTTCCACGCATGTCTTCTAAGATCATGCAGCGCCACCAACATCAGGAAATCTCTTAGGGGTAGGAACAGCTTTCTAGGAAGCCAAAAAGAGGGGACAGATTCTTATGACAACTTTTATATTAGATGAAAATATCAGATTACAGGGAAATTATTTCTTCACTAAGGTGGAGGAGGAAATATCTTACTTTAAAGTTAGTGCTATTTTGGAACAAGCAGTAAATGGCGTGCATTTTCTACACAGCATCAACAACATTTCTTAAGTGGCGTGATCCAATTCCATATGCCAACCATAGTTGCTGTTTCCCATCAGCCAAAATCTGATTGGCTCTTGTTTGCCTTTTGCTAAGTGCAGGTATCTGATAATTGAACAAATAAGGCTAATTCACAGCACAGTAGCCATGCCTGGATTCTACAGACTGACTTTCTGTAGCTAGACGTATATTGAGGGGTAAAGGACATTTTGTAGCAAATGGAATTCAGTTAACAGTATTGGGGGAACAACCAGGAAAATCACCCTTTATTGAACTGAGTTTGTACACCTCACTTCCAGTGTATTAAGGAGATAATCAAATGGGCTGTCCCAGCCTTGTGACTATGCAGCTTGGTACTCAGTGAAGGTCTCTGCTCATCATCAGTTGCAAAGCAAGTGACTGTAAAATGCCTTGCGTAGAATGGGGACTCTCTAGATCTGGTCTTTTAGAGCTACTATTCTATACTGGGTATGTCAATTTCATTGAACGGAACTGCACATTTTTTGTTGTTTCTTTGTTTTTAATGTGCAGTCATTTCCTCTAGCTACAGGCAAATGTGTCTGTAAGAAAAATATATATATATATTTATAATGGCCTAATGTGGAATGTTTACCCCACAAACTGGTTAGTGCTCAGCTAGCAATTTGAAATTAGGTCTAGTAGGGAATAGGGAAGGGTTGCTGGAAGAAGGGGATCTGTTTTGTCTCTCATTTTCACAAATAGAATACACTTAAGCCACCAAAAAGAGTGAATTCCCTCATATCACTCTTTTTAAAAGGTAGGGTAGAGCAGCTTAAATAAGTCACTGACTGCTCTGTATGTTTTGAAGATCAGTGACTAGTTTACAGGTTGATTTGTATTTAATCTGGTAGCCAATATGGCCAGTGAAGGAGACTCAGCTTTTGCCTATATTGCAAATTGGTGATGAAGTCAATCTACCATTCTAAAGTTCAATATGGAAAAGCCATTCTGGGTTGTACTCAAGGCTTTGAAATCAGCAATGGAATGTCCAGCTGCATTTTCTGTTTCCTAAGGAAGTATTCTCCTTTCAGCGTTATGTGGGAGAAACCAGACAATTTTTTTTTGCGTTTGCCATGAAGAGTTTCAAACAAACATGGACTTCAGCTGCTGCCACGCTATGCACTTTCTTCCCTTCTAAAATCCTAGCATAGCATTTGATGGACATTCTGATTGATATACAAGACTTTCAGATTAATAACAAAGATGCTGTTTTTCTCTTGTTAATCTTTCTTTGGCCCTGATACACGTGCACAGTTGATTTCAAGGTATCTCTTGAGCAAACACTACTCAAGTTCATATGGATTATGGACAATGTTCACTTTAAAAAGTGTGGGGGGTTGTTCCTTTGCAGTATCTGTTCTGTGAGGTTTGCTAAACGTAAAGAAAGCTCAAGTTCTTGTAATCTTAAAGAAATCTTATTTAACCCTTTTTGTGTTCTAGATTTACTTACACATGTAGCTTAGAGCTCAGTTTTAGTTTAACATTGTGAAATATTAAAAAATGATTGTAATTCTTTTTCCTCCTGCTTAAAAGAAACAAAACCATTAAACAGATCAGATTAAAATTTGAATTCTTCTCTGAGTTTTGCAATAGGTACGTTCAATTCAGTGGCTGCTATATGGCTTAATTTTTTTTTAAATTATTGATTGTGGAAGTTTAAAAGGACAAAAAATTCTTCATTACTGGTCTGTAGCCTTCAAATTAAGGCATATCCTAATTACTAGATTTAAGTTGCCATTTCTGGCTGAGAAATCTAGGTCAGAAAAAAGCTAAAACTATGTTCTTTCTCATAAGAACAATATCATATTTAACTTTGACATTTTATACCTATGTAAAAAAGAATCTCAAGGGGGTCAAAAGATTTCTGAAAATGTATATACTCAGGAACAAAGATTAGTCTATGAGCTGGCATCATTGTTCTGCCATAAATATTTGTGTCTTCTATAGCAGAAATTCCTTAATTCACTTTAACATCCTTGTCTAATTTTTCACTTTATTCATGAATTAGTTCAGTTTTCGTGGTTGTTCAGTATATATCTGAAAGAATTGCGTAACAAAACTGCAAACAAAAATCCAAGCTTTTAAAAACTACAGCAAATACAACTAAGTGAAGAAAGTAAAGGGTATTAAAATCCAACAAATGCTAAACTTAATTCCTTTGATTTCTTGTTGAATTTTGAACTATCTGGTACCAAAAAAAACCTAAATGAGTGGGGTATATATGTGCACTTTGAGCTATTTCTTACATATAGTGTGAAATTATAAAAATAACTTACTGCATTTTTTAATACTTGTGGTGTACCAACAAAAATTAGATATTATGAGAATGCTCTATTAATTCCCCTCATTACTCATTAACATTACATTTAGCTTTTTATAATATTTTAATTCATACAGTTCTAGGTTTGTAGACCTCGCTTAAGTATAATGCTGAACTGTTCTGCTAAGACATTGCATGCTCCTTGGAGACTTCTTTTCTGCAGAATTAGATGAAAGTTCATATTATGAACATATCACAATTGTCACCAAAGGTTTATCATGAAACTGGAGGGTCATTCAACCATGTGTTGAGTTCTATCAAAATGGAATGAACTCTCACCATATTCTTTTTGTATTCTTAGGTACATTTCAAGACTGTTTTGACAGCTGTTGCAATTCAAATTCCAGTAAAGAAGCAGCATAAAATGGGCACTTTAAAAAATTGGTTAAATATCGAGGGAAAAACTTTTTTCAAGTCACATAGAAATAGTAGAGATACAAAACAAAAATCTAGTATTAGAAATCAGCATTGTATTAAGAATTTAAATTGTTTTTATTAAATAATACTGTTTAAATAATACTATTTAAAGCCTTTTAAAAATTATTTCAATGTAATTTTTATTTTATTTTTTTCAAAAATTAAAATACAAAACTATTTTTTTTTACAGGAACAAATAAAAAACAAAACAAGACAATCTACACAAAAAAGTACATTAAGAAACACAAACACATATAGACATAAAAAATTCTATTTAGTTCTTCTCAACTGCATGCTCTACAGGTTTCACTGCACTGAAGATTTAAAGGAGCAGAAGAAGTGTGTGCAGAAGTAGATTATATTTTTCTGGGGTGTGTTTTTTTTTATCCACGACTTTGCTTGGTTTTGGTTTTTCTAGACTAACTGTGGGCCAGGAGAATTAGGAAATATTTCCTAATATTTTCATTTTAAATTATAGATGAAATTGATTAAGACATAAAGGAATTTTTGTAGTATTTGGAAACATTCCAAATCAAATAAACATAAAAGGATTGGAAAATTTGTCTCAATGCAGACAGATCTTCAGTTTTCACAAATTCATTAAAATAATATACTATGATGAAAAAAGATCAGAAGGAATGGAAATTGCTTTTGGTGATAGTGTTTCCAATTCAGAACTATTGGCACTATTAGTCAATGTTCCAGGTGTAGCAAAGAGTATATCTCTTTTATTGTCCCTCGCCCCCCCCCCAAAAAAAATTACTGTTTTCTGTATCTTTGATGCCAGGCACAATAAAATCTGGAATTTACCACTATTTTTAGTGTTTTCCCTCTTCAGTTTTATTTTTTTGCATGTCTACTTTTTAAAAACGTGTCAGAAATATAGTGATGGTAACTTTCTTTAGGGGTTCTTGGTGCTCTCTGAGCTTGGTTGTTTCCTTGCAGACTTTTCATTACCCATCAGTGCTAAACATCATCAGGATGTTTAGTCCTGGTGATGTTATCTAGTTTGAAAATAAAATGTCTGCAAGAAAACAAGCTCAGAGATCACCAAGGGCCCATAATTTCAGCACTGAGCTACAAATACTCTCCTTTATTGGTACATTCCTTAAGGTTTAGAAACATGTAGTCTGTTTGCAGTAAAAATAAATATCATTTAAAAGTACTTTCAGTCAAAACACTTACTTTATATCAAATATAATTTACATAAGCAAACCAAGCTAACATAAACACGATACTTTACAAATTACTACAATGACTTCTATCTTTAAAAACAGTTTAAAATTAAATAGAGCCTATACATCAAGATTTCCCAATATTTGTTTCCCCACTCTCCACAAAATGACTCCTGTTTTCTGATCTTGTGTCTAAATTTCTAGATGTTTTACTTCTCTAAATCTAATAAACCCGGGAGGATTGAATTTGATTAAGATTCCTCAAATGCAACTGTCAGTGAAGGTAAATATATGTGTCCCAAAATAATGTTGCAGGATCCAATCTGGGTTGGACACTGTGACCAGAAGTTTAGTCTTCCAAGCTTTAGACTAGTGCTGGAGCCCATTCTCATGAGTGACCGATCCAGACTGGATCCTGCAATAACTATCAGTGCCTTTTTATTGCTTTTGCATCTTTCTGCATAAGCTTTTTTCCTAAAACCATACAAACTATTTTGTAAATGAAAAAGGACCTGTCCAATTTACATATTTTAATTATGTAATAGAGGAGGAGTGAAGGAAAAAAATATTTGTATTATTTGGGCCTCTGTTTGAAGAATTAGGCCCCTTGATTGTCCTTGCTTATGTTGGAAACATTGTATTTTGTGATTTGGCTACTGTGACTTTGAAATGCATTTTGCAAGCCATTCCTATTTCTGTGTTGTTGAAATTTAGAATGAAGAGGGAAAATTATCTTTAAACATGTATTGACTTTCAAAAGGATCAGTTGTTAGCAAAGTATTCTAATCCAGTGTAGACCTGATGGTCTTTATTATTGTTTCAAGAAATAATGGACATGATATTAATAGACAAATCAATGATTGTAAATGATAAAATGTTGGTATATGCATATTGTTTGAATCTCCTATTAAGGTATCAGGGATTTGGTATATTTCATCAGTGTATCTCGGTTGACTACTGAATGGCTGTAAAATATGGCCTGCCTTATTTCAAATCTCATCCTGTGATCCACCATTATCCTTTCCACATTCTGACAAAACATTCTATCTAATGAACCAAAGATAATAAGCAATTAAACTGTGTGTTTATAACCTTTGCCCTGATGTCAGTTTACCTGTAATGAAGCTAAATTTAATCAGCCATATGTCCATATACGTGTTCTATTTCCTAAATATACAATTTCCTTTGGATGTGGGTGCAATATCTGTTGGTTGAAATGCACTGGTAGCATGTCAGACAGATTGTTGCATAAATGTCTGACATGCTGGATTTGAACATAATGTCTTTAAATAAGATACAAACTATTCACATATGTCTACATTGTTGAAATCAAAATAATTTCACTAATGCAACTGATTTTTTTTTTAAAGCTCTTTACTACAGTCTGATAGTCAAGTGAAAAACATCGCTCAAACATTTGTTAGTTGCACAGCACAACTAACCTGGCTTAAGTTTTGGAAAGTAATGACTGTCAACAAGATGACTTCTTGAACTAAGGACACCAGAGTATTGAAACATGAATCAAACAAGGAAGTTATTTAAGCATTAGCTGAACCAAAGGCAGCTGTTTCCTTTTATATTTAATGGGTTTAATTTTTTCTGAATGGTTAAATTTTCATATTATTTTTGTCTGGAATGTTGCATGGTAGACAAAATTTTGATGTCTTAATACCGATTTCAAAACAAAATTTGGACAAGACATTTGGTGGGTTTTTTTCTTTTTTAACCAGTGGAATTCACTGGTTAAATTAGTGGAATTCAGCATTTGAATGGTACAATGAAATAATGAGTTGTGGGGAAAAAAATACATGGAACTAAATAATACATGGGCATAATTGGAGCAGGCCTTAATCTGCATGTCAGCTTTACTCAACTTTCAATGGCCCTTTAAGATATGACAACTCCCAGAACTCTTAGCATCCAGATGGGAAAGACTACCTTATGTAGAAAATGTTGTGTATATTGAATTGGGGGGGGGGAAGATGTTGGAATATCTATCATTAGAATCAGGGTTTATCAGTTTGAAAGGTATGAGGTAGCTTAATACGTTTAAAAAATCTTACTGCACTCTTTCCGTTCTTTAAAATTTAACAGTCCTTAGTATTGCTTTTTATTTTACTACAAATAATTTTCTATGCATATTCTTGTTTCCTTGATCTGATTCTCTGTATATTAATTCAAATGTACCCCTGAGTTCAGTAAGATTTACTGTTTAGTCAGTGGGTAGGTCTAGAGCAGTGATGGCGAACCTTTTAGAGACCGAGTGCCCAAAAATTGGCCCTGCCCCCACTCCACCCCCTGCCCTGCCCCGCCCCCAACCCACCTGCCCGCAGGGCCACTCACCGTCTCCAGGGCCCGCCGCAGATTGCCCAGCAGCACCATGGCAGCCACGCCCTCTGCCCCGCAGCATCAACTGTGCATGATGGGGAGTGAGGGCAGAGTCTTGTCCACGCTGCCTGGCTGCCATGTCCTTGGCTGCACTGCTCCATGTGGGCCACGCTCGGGACAACTCTTCTCCAGGAGGGCTGCTGGTGAGGAGGGAGTCACGGGGGGAAGCAAGGCTGGGGCAACAGCACGTGTGCCCACAGAGAGGGCTCTGAGTGCCGCCTCTGGCACCTGTGCCATAGGTTCGTCACCACTGGTCTACTCTAGAGCTTT